AATATATTGATTTTTAATATCTTCAACAGCTTGTCTGCTCAATAATTTAGAATAATAAATTAGTAGCATCAATGCTACAAATTCCTTAAATCCTCGATTAGTATAGGTTCACGGTGGTGAGTGAAAGACAAGTAAAACAAAATACCATACATGTAAGTTGTAGCATCACATTTACGGTTTAGGCTCAGCGACTACTGAAGCCTTGTATATAAATTTTTCCTGGCTGTTGATAACAAAGCAAACGAAATTTATTTTGATGAATAGTGATTAAAAACAAAACACATCTTTCATAATTACTTCATGGAACTAAGTATATCTATTTTGAAAGTGAAAGTAATGATTACGCCTTATAACATATAGACCAAGCCTTTTGCAGTTGAGCTAGTAGTATAAAAGTTTGTTTGTTTATTATTAAGTGCAAAGTTACACAATGGGTTATATGTGCTATACCTACTGTAGTGATCAAATCTCGAATTTTAGCGTTAGAATTCCTCAATTTTACCGCTGAGCTACCATGCATTTATCTACCATTTATCTACGAAGAGATAAATCACTATATTAAAAGTTCTTCACTGCTCAAGCCTCACTTTGTAATTACACATGTTTCATTACCGTGCTAATTAAATAGAAAAAATTATATGAATGAAAACTAAGAAAAAATGTTTATGTGGGTGTGGCTACTATAAACCAGTAGCAGCAGAAGCGTTACTGTTAGTATTGTGCACTTAGTTACTAGATTAGGCTTGGTAAGTGTTTGCGAGATTTCAAACGTTTGCTATTCCTTGCCATTGGGTTTTACGTAATGTAATAGTTAAAGCATTATAGTTTTGTACATTAGTAATGGGCGTACTTAAAGTTATAAAGTATGAGAGGTAGCAAAATATATTTAGTATTTCAAAGTTTGAATGATAAGTATGAGTATCGTACTGTTACGAATATACAAGGTTTGTCGTAGCGTTAGGCTTAATATAATGGGAGAAGTGTTAGTGTATTAGTATTAGCAGGTTTTGCCGGGTTTTGAACAGATTAATAAATGTCTCACACTATTATAGACTTCTTGGAATATGATAGCAACAAGAGAACTAAAAAAAAAAAAGACTCGTACTCGATTATAATACGTGTGATTAATACTGGGTGTATAAAAATTAAACAAGCCGTCAGTTTCATCAGATGCGACATTGTAATTTGTACTGTAGACAAGTATTTCAACCACAGAATAGTGTGTAACTGCATATATTCGTTTGTAATAAGACAATTTTAAATTATTAAAAACGTAGTACAGTTTAAGGAATGATATATATATATAGCACAAAAAACAAGTCATTACATAATTTTTATTTGTCAACTGATGCTTTTGTACAAGACACTTTCTCTGTAACTTGTTTAATGAGTAGCTTTGTTGATCTTTTTTCTCAACAACTTTACAAAAGCCAACAGTTATTATATATATAATACATTATTTTGGATTCATTAGCTAATTATCAAATACATAACTACTCTCAACTTTCTCCTTGCTCTCACTGGTGCTCTATGGTGTCCTGAACAGGTCAGTATACAACTTTGGGTGTTTTCTTTCAGAAATTTTTCTTGGAGGGAAGGTTTGTATTTGGTGACTGATGTGGTGTGAGAAATTCAAGTTCAGAAGGTGTAGTGTGTCTATTAACAGTCAGGCTATAGTCCTCAAAATGCTTTTAAAAGTATGTCTAAAATGGTACAGTTGTAAGGGTACATAGCTATTTCACACTGAAAGTTATCATCCAGAAATAAAACCCTCAAATTTGAGGGGGGGGGATTTAGTTTAAGAAAAACCCCTGTGATTTCTTCTTGTTATCAATATATGACACAATATCTTCCAGTACTGGTCAATACAATACACCAGACCAATCATTAATCTCGGATAGCCTCCATGGATGGGACAATCACTTCCTGCTTGCTAGTATAAACTATAATGACTTATGGTGCTAAAAATTCTGCTGTATATGGAATTTGAACTTGACATCTCAACTTGTATTTTTTTTGCTCTGAGGCCACCAACTAATATACGAGGGTTTTACAGTGTTTTACATAGTTCATTATGTACTCTTCCCACTAATTTCTTCATCCAATCCAGTCTTCCTACCAGTGTTGATCTATTTCAGTGATTTGGCACAAAACACATAACTACAGAAATATAAATATTACATATATAACTCACTAATTGTACTCATGTACATTAATAACTTCATCTCGTATTCTACATATCAAGTTATCACATACTTACTTTACATCTTTCACATTTCATTACACATTTCACATTGCATCGGCTAGTACTCGAGATCTTTGGCACAATAATACTTTTAACCATGTTCTTGTTACTACTAAGAACAAGCTCCAAATAGCATTTTATGTGGCAGGATTTTTCGTGTGTTGAGTAAGAAAATGATCTCTTGCAATTTCAAGAAATTGATATCACATTCTAACCTAGACATCTTTAGGAAAAATAATGGCTTCCATAATAAGAGGCCATCAGGTAATCTTCCTGTTTTTAAACCTGTCATTGTGAATGATTTGATCAAGAGATATGTAGGAAATGCCATTAAGAACCCTTTTCTTAATTAATAAAAGTAATATACCTTTTAATCCACAGTTATTTATAATTGCAAAACAGATATTTTTGCTACATGTTTCCACAACATTTCTTTTGTGAGTTTAAGGGAAGGCTTGATAAACATTTGAATGATAAGATAGCTTTGAGTGACTTTTATTTTAAAGTTTAGTATAGTGAGATGGCCAGGGCAGACCACCAAGTCCCTTGTTGTCTGTTTCACTGTGGCTGGGATGTATATTTCCCAGTGCACTGGAAAATATATGTCCTGGCCACAGTCAATGGGTTAAATTATTTGTATTCTTAGGTAAACTGGAATAAATGGGTGAGTTTTAGGTATCACAGTAACAACAAATCAAAAAGTTTAGATTATAAGATAATAAAACAAATGAGAAGAGCAAAGGGAAACTTAAACCTTTGTGTAAAATAAAAAACAAAATGTATTTTTAAACACACAAAATGAGTTGGGCTTTACCATAACACTTGTTGGTCTCACTGTATTATTTCAACAAAATGGCTCCTGAACTAGAGAAGATATCAGACTTTTTCACACCATGAAGACATTAAGGATTGTATTTGTACATCACTTTCATATGCGTTAAACCTACTTCTATCACCCCTCCACTTTAATGTGGCCAATGAGAGATATAATACAGAGCAAAGCCCTAGTGAGTACAAACTATGTAATGGTCGCTTTGGTGTATAACCATAGACCTAGGTGAACATGATGCAAATATATCATTACATGCTATTTATGCAGACATTAACTAATTTCAGAACACTCGTATATTTTTTTAAAGTTAACTGAAAGATGAATTATTTTCTTCTAGTTATGAAAGGATAAAATATAGTAGATTTCAATACTTCAGAAGAACCCAAACCATTACTAGCTCAGTCAATCATGCTGTGACAGAAAATATTTGAGGACTAAATAAACATTTAATAACGCTTCCTCTGGAATCTGATATTTGCTCTTTATGAATCGTACATAATAATCCTTTTTTAACTCCAGGAGCAAGTTCTTTGGGGTCCTTGATCCTGCTGAATATTCATGATTATCAAATTATTTGAATGTGCACAAATACTGTTCATTGGACCAACCCTGTATTGGAGAAGGAATACTGACTATAACTTTGAATTTATTTTGTTTATCCACACAAAATGTAGCAACTTTTTGTAATATGTTTAAGTTTGTTATATTTAGATAAGTCACAAAAGTATTTGTATTCAAGATATATCTGTGAATTAACAACATCAGTCTGACTCTTACAAGTTGGAGTGTAAGGTGATGGTTGTATGAAGAAAAAAGATACATTCATACAGTTTGCATATGGTATTTGTATTACCTCTAGATCCTCTAAAATACACATCTACTGTTTTTTGCAGTATCTCTATATATTGTATCTGATATTTACCATGAATCATTGATAAATCAGCAGTATAGAGTAAAATAAATTATTGATAACTACAACATCAAATACATAACATTGTATTGAATGGCATCCTGTAAAAGTTTGTGGCTTTCACACTTTGACTCTCACTTGTGCACATAGGGTTAAATAATCTTTAAAAGTAGGATGATTGTATACAGAAGTTTTTTTGGATCAATTCTAGTGTATTATAATAAATCATCATGATGTGATTCTCTAAGATACCCTAAACACTACTGTGAAAGTTTAAAAACTAAGTATTAGTAGTATATCTTTTTGCTATATTTTTGTCTTGCATTTTCAAAAGGGAAATGGGATCATTATACATTGCTCAAGAAAAGTTGGAGAATGCCATGTCCCAAGAAAATATGGGAAACAGAATAAACACTCCACTTCATTAATAAAAAACGTGTAAGGTATTCAGTAATACTAAAATAATATCTAGGCCTTTAGTATTGGAAGAACAACATTTTTGGTGAAAACATCATCAGAAGAGAAATTGTACATCGATGTTCTCTTATCAAATTCACCCAAGAGTGCATTGGTAGGATTCTTGGCTCCTTTGTACTACTAGGCATGTTCTGGAATGTACATTGATTACCTATGCTTTCATTTAGGGAGACTCAATGGTGCTTTGAGGATTAAAGACCTTTATTTGATGGATGAGGGCATTTGAAAATTGTGTGAGTCTGTGGTGGTGGATGGCTTGCAGGCACAGATTTTCTAAGTGTATCCCAGACATCCTCAGTGGAGGTTTCGGTTGGAGGAATGAATGGTCTGCTCTCTTCTTTCAAGTCCATGGTTATAAAGACAATCTTTCACAATCAAGACTTTGTTGTGGGTTTTTGCATTATTATCCTTATGTAGCAACTAAGGATTCTCATTTTTGTCCCTTAATTCATTGATAGCAACTCTGTTTAAAACAGAGGTCTGTACAACCATTCTAATACTAGCCAATATTACCCATACCAGTATACCATCACCTCCATATGTTGATTTTTTGCCAATACAAGTGGGAAGATAACTATTTCTTCACCTCTAAACTCTCGCACACCTTGCATTGTTCTTTAGACTGAATCTCATTTTATTTGTGAAGAGAACAAAGAACCACTAGACAGAGCCAAATTTGAGTTCTTTACACCATTTTTTTAACTCTTTATGATGGACTTGGTTTAAAAGTACACAAATTATGAATCTCTGGACATACAATCTAACCTGGAAATTACTTGGTGTAATTGGTTTTTTGACATTTTCCCCAGAAACAGCTACCCCATTTATCAACTGAAACAGTTTAGTAACATAGGAGCTGTTAACAGCCTATTCTGATCCACTATAATTAATTAGTAACAGTCCTGGTTTGGTGATGTAGCATTGGGACACCTTGTTCTAGGTCTCTTTTTAATGTTTCCTGCCTGTTGAAGTGAATCAATGTTTTGTTCGCAACACTAGGCAAGACTCCTAGCTAGTAGCAACCACTTTAATCAAAATTTGCAAAGTTACAGAATGTGACACATGGAGCTAAGCTGATCTCATAGATATCATTGACAATTTTTGTCACATAACTCTTTTTTTTTTTTAATTAATGAAACACTGAACTCACCCAACCTCAGTCTTTCTGAATTATTGGTGGTTTTAGCTGTCATGCCAGCCGTAATCATGTATTTCAGTGACAGTCTATATGTATGTTTTTGCACTCACCCATTGTTTAAGTTACATGTGCCTCTGTTTTTTTATGACCACATGAACTGCAGCATTATATGTACTATGAATAGAATTGTTATTAGAATTATGGTTTGTTACATTACTATTTGTATTTTATACATATGTCCAAGATAGTACTGTACATCACAGGTGGTATTTCAAAATTAAGTAAAGGTGTAAATGTATCATGAAAGGTGTATTTGTGCATAAAGTTTTACCAAACTGAAATGATACTGTATATTACAGTTTCTTCATCAAGAAAAGAACTAGGACAGTATGGCAGCAGGATACTGTGATCTTTC